GCTCTGTGTATTCTGCAAGTATGCTATGTGACTGTTCATCAAGTAATGTGCACATGTCCATTTTCTATACCTTAAATCCCTTGAAAGGCAAGAATCATCATGCCTCTATCACTTTATAGCTAGCAGAGTTCCTTACACAAGGTAAATTTGAAAAAGTCAAACTGCCGGGCGCGGTGGCTCAAGCCTGTAATCCCAGCACTTTGGGAGGCCGAGGCGGGTGGATCACAAGGTCGAGAGATCGAGACTATCCTGGTCAACATGGTGAAACCCCGTCTCTACTAAAAATACAAAAAAATTAGCTGGGCATGGTGGCACGTGCCTGTAATCCCAGCTACTCAGGAGGCTGAGGCAGGAGAATTGCCTGACCCCAGGAGGCGGAGGTTGCGGTGAGCCGAGATCGCGCCATTGCACTCCAGCCTGGGTAACAAGAGCGAAACTCCGTCTCAAAAAAAAAAAAAAAAGAAAAAGTCAAACCTGGGAAGTCAGAGGGTATATTCTGTAGGCATCTGTAGCCTCGAGCCCTGCCACAATGGTTAGTCCAATGATTTGGACAGAGAGGTTCTTACTGTGACCAGAACCCAATCCTCCCAGCTCCTTTTCGAGAATACAAATGTATAAAAATAGATACCCTCTTCCTCAAAAATTTGTGGCTGGGTACGGCGCCTGTAATCCCAGCACTTTGGGAGGCCAAGGTTGGCAGATCACCTGAGGTCAGGAGTTTTGAGGCCAGCCTGGCCAACATGGTGAAACGCCATCTCTACTAAAAATAAAAAAAATTAGCCAGGTGTGGTGGTGGGCACCTGTAATCCTAAGTACTTGGGAGGCTAAGGCAGGAGAATCACTTGAACCTGGGAGGTAAAGGTTGCAGTGAGCCGAGATTGCGCCATTTGCATTCCAGCCTGGGTGAAGGAGGCTGAGGTTAGCAGATCACGAGGTCAGGAGTTCAAGACCAGCCTGACCAACATAGTGAAACCCTGTCTCTAATAAAAATGCAAAAATTAGCCAGACATGGTAGTATGTGTCTGTAATCCCAGCTACTCTGGAGGCTGAGGCAGGAGAAACATTTGAACCCAGGAGGCAGAGGATGCAGTGAGACAGGACTGCGCCACTGCACTTCAGCCTAGCAACAGAGAAAGACTCCATCTCAGAAGAAAAAAAAAAAGGCAAAAGATTTGAATAGATGTTTCTTCAAAGAAGATATGCAAATAGCCAATAAGCACATGGAAAAGATACTCAGCATCAATATTCATTAAAGAAATGCAGTCTGGGCGCGGTGGCTCAAGCCTGTAATCCCAGCACTTTGGGAGGCCGAGGCGGGTGGATCACGAGGTCAAGAGATCGAGACCATCGTGGTCAACATGGTGAAACCCCGTCTCTACTAAAAATACTAAAAATTAGCTGGGCATGGTGGCGGGTGCCTGTAATCCCAGCTACTCAGGAGGCTGAGGCAGGAGAATTGCCTGAACCCAGGAGGCGGAGGTTGCGGTGAGCCGAGATCGTGCCATTGCACTCCAGCCTGGGCAACAAGAGCGAAACTCCGTCTCAAAAAAAAAAAAAAAAAAAAAAGAAATGCAAATCAAAACCTCTAAATTACTTCACATGCACTAGAATGCCAATAATGAAAACAATGACAACTGTTCATGAGGGTACAGAGAAATTGGAACCATCACACGGTACTGGCAGGAATGTAAAATGGTGCAGACTGGAAATCGGCTTGAAAGTTCTTTAACAAGTTAAAACATAGTGTTATATGACTCAGCAATTCTACTCCTAGATGTATACCCGAGAGTTACAAACATGTCCACCCAAGGGTTCATAACAGCATATTCATAATAGCTAAAAAGTAGAAAAAGCTTGTGTTCATCAACTAATTAATGGATAAACAATGTGGTATATCCATACAATGGACTATTTATTATTCAGCCATACAAATGGATGAAATTATTATGTGTTACATGGTATAACACAGATGAACCTTGGGAACATGCTAAATGAAATAAGTCACACAAAGGCCACATGTTGTGTGGTTCCATCTATGTGAAGTGTCCAGATTAGGCAAATCCATAGAGATGGGAGGTATATTAGTGGTTAGCAGGGTTGAAGGAAGAGGGGAACTGGGACTCACTGAATAGGTACTGCTAATGGCATGATGGAGATGTTCTGGAATTTACTGGTGATGGCTGCACAGCACAGTGAATATACTTAAAGCCAATGAGTTTTATTTTTTAAAATGGTAAATTTTATAGTATATGAATTATCTCTATAAGACATTATCATATATCGTTTACTAAAACACGTTTTAGTTCCCAAGTAATTACATTCCAAGAAACATAGAAGGGGCAAAGATAACCTAAAGATGTGAAGAAAGAAACAGGATATTTCCCAAGTATTTTTTTTTTTTTCTTGAGATACTACTTTTTTTTCTTGCTTTAGCTTGGAAAATCTCATATAATAGATAAACCTTTCTCCTATCTTGAAATTGGTCTTATCAAGGAATGACCTACATGGAAACATAAAGCTCTAGGCCTATCTGGGAGCCTTGCATGTCCTGCATTCATCATCTGTCCCTCAGATAAGAAGCCCTGACTTTAAGATACACCTCCTTGGATTTTTTTTTTTTTTTTTTTCTTTTTTTGAGACAGAGTCTTGCTCCCGTCATGCAGGCTGGAGTGCAGTGGTGCGATCTTGGCTCACTGCAAACTCCACCTCCTGAGTTCAAGCAATTCTTCCTTAGCCTCCAGAGTAGCTGCGATTACAGGCATGCACCACCATGCCCAGCTAATTTTTGTATTTTTAGTAGAGACAGTTTCTCCATGTTCGTCAGGCTGGTCTTGAACTCCTGATCTGAGGTGATCCACCCACCTCGGCCTCCCAAAATACTGGGATTACAGGCATGAGCCACCATGCCCAGCCCCTCCTTGGATTTAACAGTATAAGACATTTATTTCTGGTCCGCCCCACCCCTTGTCCACCAGAAACAATGCCTTTCCTTAGAAAATTGCCTCCTTGTTACTTCTGCTCATTCTGGGTTTAAGTCCTAACTCCCCCGACACACTTATGACATTAAACCCTAGAGTACTATCTTGGTCACTCCTCCCTGGCCCACTATCTCTGTTCCAACATTCAGACTTAAAATATCCACTCCTAGCCAAGTGCAGTGGTGCACACCTCTAGTTCCAGCTACTTAGGAGGCTGACACAGGAGGATCCCTAAGTTTGAGGCTGTAGTGCACCGTGATCACACCTATGAATAGTCACTGCATTCCAGCCCAGGCAACAGAGTGAGAACCTGTCTCTAAAAAAAATGAAAATGATACCCTCTCCATTCTTATTCTGTAACACTCTAAATACATACATATTCCCTCATTTTTTTTCAATTTCTCAATAAAGCATATAGTAGATGGTTTTCTTTCCTATTACTCAGGTCAGCTATTCTACCTTTCCTGTTTAGAGATGGAAACAGAATGGCCTACAGGTAAAAGAATCTGACCTATCCTTAGTCTTGTAGTTTTAGCTGAAGCCACTGGGTGCCACTCTTGTACCACTAATAAGTTATTTATCACTAAATGGCCGTTATCAGAGGGAAACCTGATGATCTTGAGTAGAGAGAGAAGCATGGGTTCTACTCAATGACCTGGATCACTCATCTTCCCTGGGCTTGCATCCCAGTCCTCTATATTAACAGTATTACCAGACTTCAGAGCCAGGAGATCTCAGTACAAATTCTAGCCTTGTATTTACTGACTGTGTGACTCTGGGCAAATTACGAAAGTTCTGTAACCAGTTTCCTCATCTGTAAAATGGTTAAACTGTGACCTGATTTATAACATCTTTGCAGAGATTAAAGTGAAAATCTTGGCACACATTAGGGATTCAGTAAGTGTTCCTTCCTTCCAAGACGTATGACTACTGGTAAGACCTTGAGTTCACTAGCCATCTGCCAAGTTAATTGGGCTATGAATGGCCCTGAGGCCATGAGCCTTGACTATAGCAAAAGAACAGGGTAAAAGAGGGCAGATAATCTTTTCTTTTTTCTTATTTTAGACAGTCTTGCTCTGTCACCCTGGCTGGAGTACAGTGGTGGCACGATCTTGGCTCACTGCAGCCTCTGCCTTCTGGGTTCAAGCAGTTCTCATGTCTCAGCCTCCTAAGTAGCTGGGATTACAAGCGTGTGCCAACAAGGCAAGGCTAATTTTTGTATTTTTAGTAGAGATGGGATTTCACCATGTTGGCCAAGGAGGTTTCAAACTCCTGACCTCAAGTGATCCACCTGCGTCAGCCTCCCAAAGTGCTGAGATTACAGGAGTGAGCCAATGCAACCTGGCCCAGATTATCTTTTTCAGGTCTTACTGGGATATCACAGAGGCCCAAGTAAAAGAACTTCACAGGCTGAAACACTCCTAGATCCTGAGTGGTCCCTAAATCCAATGGCAGATATCTTTTATTTATTTATTTATTTATTTTTTTTGGAGACAGAGTCTCACTGTATCACCCAGGCTGGAGTGCAGTAGCACCATCTCAGCTCACTGCAATCTCTGCATCCCAGGTTCAAGCAGTTCTCTGCTTTAGCCTCCCGAGTACCTGGGATTATTGGCGCCTGCCACCACGCCTAGCTAATTTTTTGTATTTTTAGTAGAGACGGGGTTTTGCCATCTTGGGCAGGCTGGTCTTGAACTGACCTCATGATCTACCCACCTTAGCCTCCCAAAGTGCTGGGATTATAGGCATGAGCCACCGCACCTGGCCTAATTTTTGTATTTTTAGTAGAGACGGGGTTTCACCATTTTGGCCAGGATGGTCTCAATTGCTTGACCTCATGATCCACCTGCCTCAGCCTCCCAAAGTACTGGAATTACAGGCATGAGCCACTGTGCCCAGCTGGCAGGTATCTTTATAAGAGAAAGGCATAGACTGGGTGTGGTAGCTCACGCCTGTAATCCCAGCACTTTGGGAGGCCAAAGCGGGCAGACCACCTGAGGTCAGAAGTTTGAGACCAGCATGGTGGTGTATGAAAGGAGAGAAGGCTAGCACGCCCCTTGACAAGGATGGAAGAGGCCCTCGGGTCTGACAACACGCATACGGAGACCAGCGTGGCCAACATGGCAAGACTCTTGTCACTACTAAAAATACAAAAAGTAGCTGGGCATGGTGGTGGGTGCCTGTAATTCTAGCTACTCAGGAGGCTGAGGCAGGAGAATCGCTTGAACGCTGGAGGCGGACATTGCAGTGAGCTGAAATTGTACCACTGCATTCCAGTCTGGGTGACAGAGTGAGTCTCAATCTCAAAAAAAAAAAAAAAAAAAAAAGGCAGAAAGAAATTTGAGAGACAGGGAGAAAGCAACATGAAGATGGAGTTACAATTTGGAGTTATGCAGGCCGCAAGAAGCCAAGGAACAGTTTCCATCAGAAGCTACAAGAGGCAAGGCAAGAAAGGATTCTCCTCTAGAAACTTTGGAGGGGGTGTGGCCCTGCCAACACCTTGATTTTGGACTTCTGGCCTCCAGAACTGTGACAGAATAAATTTTGGTGGTTCTTAAACCTTCAAGTTTGTTAATTTCTCACAGCATTCCCAGGAAATGGATAGAAAGCATTTTAGCTTTATTTACTCAAAGTGTGGACAGCAGCTTTCCAAGTCCCTTTCCAGTCAGAGGGAAGCTGGCAAGAGTATTTGTGGTGAACCAGCTGAAAGGAACAGCAGACACATTCCTGGGAAGTGCATCCTAGAAGGTACAGCCAGCATGAAAAGGTGTAGTGAAGGGAGCACTGACGGGGGTTTACTGCTGCTCTGTGCCTCTCTAGTCACACTGAAGAGGAGAATAGCCAAGTTCACTAGATGCTGTGATCCTTTGGTGCCTGGATACCTAAACTTCCCCACCCAATCAGGCAAGCAGAGATACAAGGGGCAGAGAAGATGCAGAGGAGGTGCCAAAGGCCGTGTTACTCATTTTCTCAGAAACAGTAACCATAGTTTTTATAACTACTGAGATACAAACTGACAGAATAAACTGCACATACAGAAAATGTACAATTTTATAAGTACACATGTCCATACCTGTGAAATCATCCATGTCACTGTGTTTCAATAGTTCTTTTATTGCCACAGTGTTCCTTTATATGGATTTACTGCAATTTGTTTATCCATTTACCTGTTGATATTGAGTTGTTTCTCATTTTTGGCTATAACAAGGGTGCCGTGAAGATTTGTGTACAAGTCTTTGTGTGGACATATGCTTTCACTTCTCTTGGGTAAATACCTAGGAGTGAAAGCGCTAGGTCATGTAGTAGGTGCATGTTTAACTTTATAAGAAACTGCCAAACTTTTCCAAAGTGCTTGTTCCATTTTTCATTTCCACAGAGTAGTACATGCGTTCACTCCTCCACATGCATGTCAACACATGGTATAGTCAGGCCTTAGATTCCAATGGCGTGAAATGGTTAGCACATTGTGATTCTTTGAATTTTTGTTATGACTGATGATGTTGGGCATCTTATGTGTTTATATGCCATTTATGTATCTGTAGCTTCTTTTGTGAAGCGTTTTTCAAATCTTTTGCCCATTAAAAAAACTGGTTTTTCTTATTAATAAGTTTTAAGAGTTCTTTATATATTGAGGATATCATGGTAAGGTTTTTAACTAAACATTCAATTAAAAAAAAAGATACAGTGCTATCAGGTACGTAGGGGTACTTCTTTTTTTTTGAGACAGTCTTGCTCTGTCACACAGGCTATAGTGCAATGGCATGATCTTGGCTCACTGCAACCTCCACCTCCTGGGTTCAAGCAGTTCTGCCTCAGTCAGCCTCTTGAGAAGCTGGGATTGCAGGCATGCACCACCACGCCTGGCTAATTTTTCTATTTTTAGTAAAGACAAGGTATCACCATATTGGTCAGGCTGTTCTCGAAGTCCTGACCTCCAGATCCTCCCAAGGTACTGGGATTTCAGGGGTGAGTCACCATGCCCGGCCTGATAATCCTTTTAATATCTGATGCTACCTTTCTCATTTCTGATAGTGGCAATTTGTGTTCATTCTTTTTATTCTGATTAGTCTGGCTAAATGTTTATCAATTCTATTAATCTTCTAAATGAGCCACCTTTTACTTTCATTGATTTTACTCTATTTTTCTGGTTTCGATTTTACTGATTTCCATTCTGATCTTTATTAATTAATTTCTTCTGTTTAAGTTGTGTTTAATTTGCTCTTATTCTAGTTTAAATTGGAAAGTGATGTCACTGATTTGAGCCTTTTTTCTTTTCTAACACAGGCATTTTCCCCTCTAACCACTACATTAGCTACAACCCAAACATTTTGATAATTTTCTTTCTCATTTAATTAAATTATTTCTAATATCCCTTTGATTTTGGTGTTTAATCCATGGGTTATTTATACATACGTCATTTAGTTTCCAGATATTTTGGAATTTTCTAGATACCTGTTAATTGATTTTGCTTTAATAATTCTATTATAGTCAGAAACATACTTTTATGACTTAGAGACTTTTACATGTATTGAGACATATTTAATGCCTTAGAATATGGTCTGTCTTGTTAAAAGTTCATTGTGCACTTGAAAATAATGCATATTCTTCTGTGGCTGAACAGAGTGTTTTTATAGTCTATTAGGTCAAAGTGATTGAAAGCACTGTTCTGACTTTCTGAGATAATTATGTTGAAATCTTGAAATATAATTTTGGATTTGTCTATTTCTCCTTATAGTTCTATTAGTTTTATGGGGTTTTGTTTTTGTTTTTTTTTTTTTTGAGACGGAGTTTCGCTCTTGTTACCCAGGCTGGAGTGCAATGGCACGATCTCGGCTCACCGCAACCTCCGCCTCCTGGGCTCAGGCAATTCTCCTGCCTCAGCCTCCTGAGTAGCTGGGATTACAGGCACGCGCCACCACGCCCAGCTAGTTTTTTGTATTTTTAGTAGAGACGGGGTTTCACCATGTTGACCAGGATGGTCTCAATCTCTTGACCTCGTGATCCACCCGCCTCAGCCTCCCAAAGTGCTGGGATTACAGGCTTGAGCCACCGCGCCCGGCTTTATTTTTAACTTATCTGTTTACCTTCAATTAGTATTATACCACTCCACATATAGTATAAGACCCTACAACAGTATTTTTCCATTTCTTTCCTCCTGGTCTTTTGCTATTATTGCCATGTTTTACTTCTCCATGGTAATAAACATTATAATACAGTGTTGTTATTTATGCTTTAAAAAGTCAATTATGGGCTGGCATGGTGGCTTCAGCCTGTAATCCCAGTACTTTAGGAAGCCAAGGCAGGCAGATCACCTGAGGTCAGGAGTTCGAGAACAGCCTGGCCAACCGGTGAAACTCCCGTCTCTACTAAAAATACAAAAATTAGCGAGGCATGGTGGAGCATGCCTGTAGTTCCAGCTACTCGAGGAGCTGAGGCAGGAGAATCACTTGAACTGAGAGGCAGAGGTTGCAGTGAGCCGAGATTGTACCACTGCCCCCCAGCCTGGGCAATAGAGCAAGACTCTGTCTTAAAAATATAAAATAAGTACGCTTTTATCTTTTCACCTTTTTGGATGCTAGAGATCTAGAGTTTAATTAGTTGGAATCTTTACCCTAAAGGAGGTCAAATAGCTTTTAACTGGTTTTGTGATAGTCTCCTCTAATGAGTGAGGGAGATTATAGCTAGGAAATTGTTTCTCTACAAATTCCAGGTACAGTTGTTAGTAGTGGTCCAACTGAAGCCCACTTTCTCTGTTCGCTCTAATCAGTAGGATTGACTTATCTGGAACTAAAAATATAGGGTGAATATATAAAAGAGATTAAAGATGAAAATATCCTACAGTAGGCTGGACACGGTGGTTCACACCTGTAATCCCAACACTTTGGGAGGCTGAGGCAGGTGAATCATGAGGTCAAGAGATCGAGACCATCATGGCCAACATGGTGAAACCCTGTCTCTACTAAAAATACAAAAATTAGCCAGGTGTGGTAGTTGGCGGCTGTAGTTCCAAGCTACTCAGGAGGCTGAGGCAGGAGAATCCCTGAACCCAGGAGGCAGAGGTTGCAGTGAGCCAAGATCAAGCCATTACACTCCAGCCTGGGCAACAGAATGAGACTCCATCTCAAGAAGAAAAAAAATAGAAAAGAAAATATTCTACATTGTCTTCTGGACAAGATGGAGTAACAGGGACTGAATCTACCCTCATACCCGAAATAACAAAAATCCTGGATACAACATATGAAACAATGGCTTTCAAAACATCGGACGTCAGGCAACAAATAGGATAGCCATTCCTGAGAGACAGAAGACAGATGATTTTGTTTCACAGGCTTCCTTGCTGAAAGGCTAACCTCCGATTATACAGTCTGAAACACTTGTACCTACCCCCTACCCCTCCGCCACAATTCGGGATTCCCATATATCAAAATGGAAAATTCCCACCAAAGTACTGATTATTTACACTGACCTGCTTCACCTCACATGAGCAGTGGTGAAGAAATTGGTGCTGAGTGATCTCACAAAATAGTTTGTGCAGTTTGGTCCCAAACTCTTGGGTGTCAGCTGCCTAAAATGGGCCAGAAATAGAACATCCTGAGTTCCAGTACTGGAAACCAAGGGGGCAAGTTCTCACGGAAAGTTTATACAGGCAGATGATGACGCAGATAATGGGCAAGCCATTAAAGTTAGGAGTTTTCTTAGTCTTCATAAAGGCAAGAGAGGAAAAAAGGCCTGAGATAATTGGTATGACAGGTAGTTGTGGCTCCTGTGTATCTTCCCACTTCTGTCACCTAAGCAAGATCCTTCAAAAGGCCTTTGTTCTCCCACCCACACCATCCCCCCCACCTTTTTTTTTTTGAGACAGTCTCACTCTGTCACCCAGGCTGGAGTGTAGTGGTACAATCTTGGCTCACTGCAGCCTCCACCTCCTGGGTTCAAGTGATCTCCTGTTTCAGCCTCCTGAGTAGCTGGGACTACAGGCGCATACCACCACACCCAGCTAATTTTTGTATTTTAGTAGAGACGGGGTTTCACTATGTTGGCCAGGCTGGTCTCAAACTCCAGACCTCAGGTGAACTCCACCCACCTCAGCCTCTCAAAAGTACTGGGATTACAGGTGTGAGCCACCCCCACCCCCAGCCTTTT